TATATATATATATATATATATATAATTTTTTGTCACCATGGACTTGGGTTGAGATGCGGGACCAACAATGACCGTTACCATGGCAACGCATCGAAGGAACTAGCACCATTGTATGCCCAAGCACATAACGAAAATGCACCTTGTAATCTGGTTATATAACCCGTGAAGGACGTGTGAAGTCTGCTTCCTCTGCTGGAGCTTGAGCAACAAAATGTGTCTGTTTGCACCTGGTGACCTTCCAGATCATCTTGCATATGGACACACACGGATAACAGAGAATCCCCCAGTGCTGCTGTCTGTCAGGAGGAAGTCTTAATACATTATTAACGAGTCCATCTCTGGTTTAAAGCCCATAAAATGATTGTATTCAGCAGAGAGAGATATCAAGGTTGTCCCAGTCAGCAGGGCGTTTCTCTCTCTCTCTCTTTCTGTCTGTCTGTCCTGGACAATAGATTAAAGGAGTGTTTGGCTGAGGAAGCATGCAGGGCTCGGGGGGGAGGGGGGTCACCCTACCTGTTCCCTCACGCTGAGAAACAATCCATATTTTCAGAAGACTGTCCTGTCCACAGGAGGCCAGTCGAAGCTCCACACAGGAGTCTTCTGCAGAGTAAGTGGGGGAAAAAAAAACTCAGCGTTCATGCTTGATAAAACCAGCAACAGAAGAAGACAAATATGTTATGACAGCATGTTAGTACAGAAACCACTAACCAGCAGTATCCTTTAAAAAAAGAAGTAATGTTTTGAAAAGAGACATTTGATTAGTGGACTAAAAACAGCGTTGGATATTTAACAGATACTGACGACACCGAGCTCCCCAATCACAATTTTGTCAGAGGAGTAGGTAAATAAGTGGAACATGACTTGAGCTGTAAAACACATGAGGTTCATTTTATAATCTTAAGAACAATAGTTATCTTTCCTGGTAAAATGGCAGGATTTTGTGATGTAAAAGTGTAGACACCCTTAAAAGGTGTGTTTTGTTGAAGGATCTTTTTTATTCAGTTTGGCCGTCCTCTTTTGTAAGACCATTAAACCCCACATATTGACTCAAAAAAAATATGCCTTCACAGAATATGCAAATAATTTCCATATCTTTGTATTGAGAAATCTTTACCTTCAATAATATATAGGCATACACATTTTTTTGCTATTTCAAGTTTACTTAACTCACCAATTTTGAAGTGAGGTGCGAAGCTGCAGCAGGTGACGCCCAAATCGTGGGCGTCTTTCTTAGCAAGCAGAATGCTGATGTGATCATCCCAGAGTTTGAGGTCTCCGTGGGTACAGCCGGTCACAAAAACCTGACTGCAGGGGGAGAAACTGCAGGCCACAATGCTGGCTTCACTTGCTGCAGCACATCTGCGGGAGAAAATTATTAGAGCAGTTTGTTTAAAAGACAAAGAAGACTGTTGGTGAAAATGTTTGACCTTGCACGGTTCTGTAGAGATGAGAGGCTTAATCAGTGATGACAGAGCCTCAATAAGAGCTCTGACGAGGAGGAAGCATTCATTTTTCTTGAAAATAAGTATATGTTGTCTGAACTCAAGTTGACCTGAAATGAATACGTGTGTTTTTATACTAAACTTTATTAGCTCAAAAAAGCCAGACCACTTTTCTGATATGCATACTCACGCTGTCCTCAGTGTCCTAAAAAATGATTAGATGAATGAGTGCATTGTTTTCTGACACACTTTTAGGATTATTTTCTGTTTTAAAGTTTGTCACTGATGGGAGGCGGGTGGGGGGGAAAGCTGCTGAGCAGAAAGTTGTGACAGCTGTACGATGACTCCATCTGCTGCAGAAGGCTGAGAGATGTTGCCAAAAGCGACAAGTGTGAGAGCTTTTCGATTCAGTTCGTCTGTCAAACTGTGGTTTTCAGAGTTGAGCGCTAACCTTGAGTCTGACTTTGAATCTGTTAAAGGTGTCAGTCAGATTTTATTTTATTTTTTTTAATTAGTACTCCAACACAGAACCGGCACTCTACCATCAGGGTTGATTCCAGAAGGTTTTCAGATGAG